GTGTTAACGAGCAGTTGGACAGGTGTACCTAATAAAGTGGCCGGTGAGTGTACATTCCTACCCTCATCTCTGGTCATGAGCTTTGGGTAGTGACCGAAAGAATGAGATTGCYTATACAAGCGGCCGAAATTAGTTTTCTTCGCAGGGTGTCTGGGCTCTCCCTTAGTGATAGGGTGAGAAGCTCAGTCATCCGGGAGGGACTCAGAGTAGAGCCGCTGCTCCTCCATGTCGAGAGGAGCCAGCTGAGGTGGCTCAGGCATCTGGTTAGGATGCTTCCTGGATGCCTCCCTGGTGAGGTGTTCCGGGCATGTCCTACTGGGAGGAGGCCCAGAGGGAGACCCAGGACACGCGGGAGTGTCTACGTCTCTCGGCTGGCCTGGGAACACCTTGGGATTCCCTGGATGAGCTGGCCCAAGTGGCTGGGGAGAGGGAAGTCTGGGTCTCTCAACTTAAGCTGCTGCCCCTGCGATCCAACCCCGTATAAGTGGAAGAAAACGGACSGATGGATGGACAAACTTTTGTTTTCTGTTCTTGTTTTTCGATGTGTTGCTCCCATAAAATTCAATATTACCTTAATTTTACAAAAAAATGTAGTTTCAAAATTTAATGTTTAGGTTTAATGTTCTGTTGTTAATAAAATATAGGTGTATAGGATCATTTTGTTCAGTTTTGACATAAAGTCCAAACTTTTTCTGATGTAAGTTTGCTTTTTCCTGTACTGAGCACACCGAAAGTGAAAGATGGATTTCAACTTTATATTGTTTTCTAATCAACCTAATTAAAACAAACATAGTGGAAACCTTGTCTTTGACATATGTTTTACAGAAAATTACATTACAGCTCACTCTAAAAAAGAAATAGGAGAAGACAAACCAGAATTCAATTGTCCCCCTCAAAAAATGAAAGGGTGAAAACATGCAAAATTCCGGCCTTTTGCTTTTGTGGATTCCTGTACAATTATAACAACATTTTTCGTTCATCACATTTATATAATGAAAAATTAATGTGCACATTTTGATTTTGATGACTTTTTGTATGTTTCTTGTCCAGTGAGACTTGTCTTTTGCCTGTATCCAGGTGTCCAGTCCCTGGCTGTGACAGTCTTGGTCACATCAGTGGGAAGTACGCGACCCATCGCAGTGCCTATGGCTGTCCACTGGCTGCAAAGAGGCAGAGGGAGGGGCTTCTGAATGGAGCACCGTTCTCTTGGAAGGCCTTCAAAACAGAAGGTCCAACCTGCCCTACACCAGGCTGTGATGGTTCTGGACATGCTAATGGCAGCTTCTTAACACACCGCAGGTACCATCCATTCATTATCTCTGTTTGTCTATCTATTCATCCAAATTCCATTTATCATTCATTCATACAATCATCCATCCATCTCTTTGTCAGGTGTCACTCATAGTTGTTAGTATGAGATAAATTTTGTGCCAGTAAGAACTGACTTTGAATTGCTCACCTTGAATCTGTATGTTCATAATTTGAAAATGAATGCATTGGTTTAAAAATGAATTTCACTAAATTGAAACTGAATTTTATTGTTTGAAACTGCATTTAAAGTTTTGAATTCTAATTCATTTGCTTTGAAACTGTATTTTGGTCTATTAAAAATTCAGTTTGACTACTTTCACTTTCAGTTCCATAATTCAACTTCAGTTCTAAAATTCAGATTTTTGTGTCACACATCCGGGTCATTGAGAAAGCCAGCCAGAGTAATCAAACACAGATTGACAGATTTACGTTTTACCTTCTGGCGGCACGATTGCTCAGTGGTTAGCACCAACGCCTCAAGCAAGTAGGTCCTGGGTTCAATCCCCGGTTCGGATCTGGGGTCTTTCTGTGTGGAGTTATCACGTTTTCCTTGTGCTTGTCTGGGTTTTCTCC